AACGGTGTGCAAAAGAACGGTGTGCATTTTCTCGTGTGCAAATGAACGGTGTGCAACTGAACGATGTGCAAAGGAACGATGTGCATCTTTCCGTGTGCAAATGAACGGTGAGCAAACGAACGATGTGCAAATGAACGGTTTGCAACTGAACGGTGTGCAATTGAACGGTGTGCAAACTAACGGTGTGCAAATGAACGGTGTGCAATAGAACGGTGTGCAATTGAACGGTGTGCATCTTCCCGTGTGCAACTGAACGGTGTGCAAACGAACGGTGTGCAATCGAACTGTGCGCATCTCTTCGTGTGCAAACGAACGGTGTGCAATTGAACGGTGCACAATTTTCCGTGTGCAAATGAACGGTGCGCATCTTTAGTGTGCAAACGAACGGTGTGCAAATGAACGGTGTGCAACTGAACGGTGTGCAATAAAACTGTGTGCTTCTTTTCGTGTGCAACTAAACGGTGTGCAACTGAACGGTGTGCAATAGAACGGTGTGCATCTTGCCGTGTGCAAATGAGCGGTGTGCAAATGAACGGTGTGCAATAAAACGGTGTGCAAAAGAACGGTGTGCAATTGAACGGTGTGCAATTGAACGGTGTGCATCTTTTCGTGTGCAAATGAACGGTGTGCAAGTGAACGGTGTGCAATAGAACGGTGTACATCTTCTCGTGTGCAAATGAGCGGTGTGCAAATGAACGGTGTGCAATAGAACGGTGTGCACTAGAACGGTGTGCAATAGAACGGTGTGCAATGGAACGGTGTGCAATTGAACGGTGCGCATTGTTACGTTCTCGTTTTTACGTGCGCATTTGATCTGTGTGCAAATGAACGGTGTACATATGAACAGTGTGCAATTGAACCGTGCGCAATAAAGCGTGTCCATCTGAAACGTGCGCAATTGCAACGTGTGCAAATGTACCGTGCGCAATTGCGCCGCTCCCAAATGTTACATCTTACCGTGCACGCGCTCGTTTATCTGCCCTTCAAGAAACATGGGATAAATTCTCTATCACGAAGCTATTAACTTAGCAATGACAAAAATCACTCAAGAAGAAAAAGTACTGTTACAAGCGCACTCATACTTTTCTAAAAACTTGTATTCAACCACGTACGAATTTTATCTTGAAGCAGTGGAAAAGATGAATTCATTTCTCGAACATGACTCGGAAAGTATCAATAAGACACCATCCTCTCAATCATTATCTCAAAATTCAAATACTCCTATTTTTTTTCATCACGCACGACTTCCTCGAATTGATATTCATAAATTTAACGGATCTCCATCAGAATGGTTATCTTTTAAAGATTTGTTCAGCTCTCTTATCATAGCTAACCCAACATTAACCTCAGTAGAAAAGCTACAATACCTTAAAACAAGTTTAATTGGATCTGCTTCTCATTTGTTAAAAAATACTACTCTTACTGCTGATAATTTTCAAAAGGCCTGGGAAGCACTCATTTCCTTTTACGAAAACAAACGACTTTTAGTACATTCTACTTTACATTCCTTGATGAACCTCAAACGCATGACGAAAGAATCAGCTGTTGAGATGGAACAGCTTTACACAAACATCATGCAAATTTATCGCACATTAGAAACCTTAAAAAGACCCGTTCATGAATGAGACGACATTTTTGTTTTCATTGCAGTCCAACGAATCGATTCAGAATCTGCTAAGATTTGGGAACACCATTTAGGTTCATCTAAGGAGCCTCCGACTTGGAATCAATTTAACGAATTCTTATTTTCAAGGCTTCTCTCACTTCAAGCATTTGAAAAAACTCGTAACGGAAAAACTTCATCAAATCCGACCTTCTGCTAAATCTCACTTTCAAGGTCAAGTCAAAGATTCTCATTCTTCTAAACCAAGTTTATGTATTTTATGTTCAGCAAATCATTATATCACAAATTGTCCTCAATATAGCTCGAAATTAATTCCTCAACGACTTGCTATTATAAAAAAAAATAAGCTTTGCTACAATTGTTTAGGACCTCACAAAATTGCAGCTTGTCGAACGACAAAACGTTGTTTAAAATGTGGAAACAAACACCATACTACCATTCATCAGAATACTCAGTCTAAAACTAAAGCTTCTACTCCAGTAGCTTCAGCATCTGAAAACTCTTCTGAATCAAAATCATCGGAAGTTCATACTCTCCATTCTTCCACTGAACAACATTCAGTTACTTCATGTGTTTTATTAGCTACAGCTCAAGTCGTAGCTATAGCAGAAAATGGAGAAAACTTAAAGGCTAGAGTATTAATTGATCAAGGTTCTGAAATCTCGCTAATTTCTGAACGTTTAGTACAGCTCCTTCATCTTCCCAGAAAACACTCTTCTATTTCTTTAATCGGAATCGGTGGTTTAAAGACAAATAATACTAACGGATTGACACAATTCAAAATAAGACCTCACTTTGATCATAATACGGAAATCTTCATATCAGCACATATTCTACCAAAATTAACCACATCTCTTCCATCAGTTAAAGTTCATCAGCATGATTGGCCTCATTTGAAAGGATTGACATTAGCTGATTATCATTATGCAACTCCTGGATCTATTGACATAATTTTAGGAGCCTATGTTTACTCTCAAATTATTGAGGAAGGATTGATAAAAGGAGACACCACATCACCAATTGCCCAACGCACAAAACTTGGTTGGATATTATCCGGTCCTTTTAATAATAACAAAGCATCGGAAATTTCTCAAGGATATCATATATCAGTTGATAAAGACCTTCATGATCTTCTTCAACGTTTTTGGAAACTCGAGGAAGTATCATCTACCACCACGTCGCTATTATCAATTGAAGTTCAAGAATGCGAGCAGCATTACAAACAAACTCATTCACGGGATCAACAAGGAAGGTATATCGTTAGACTTCCTTTCAAAAGATCAGCAAATGAATTAGGTGATTCTCGTAAAAAAGCTCTTCATATTATGTTCAATCTATTTAAAAAGCAAACAAGTGATTCCAATTATGCAACTGCTTATTCAGAATTTTTAAGAGAATATGAAAGACTAGATCATATGATCCAAGTTCCTAAAGGTCAATTAGAACCAGAATTAGTCTACTATCTTCCTCATCATGGAGTTATTCGATAAACCAGTCTAACTACTAAACTTAGAGTAGTCTTTAATGGATCAAGCTGCACCACTACTAATATTTCTTTAAATGACCTTCTTCATACAGGAAGTAAACTTCAAACTGATGTATTCGATGTTTTATTATGGTTTAGGCAATTCCAGTATGTTTTTTCCTCTGACGTAGAAAAAATGTACAGACAAATCAAAGTTCACGAAAAGGATTGGGATTTTCAACGAATTCTATGGCTTAATGAAAACAAAGAAATTATAACATACCAGTTAAAAACAGTTACATATGGACTTGTCTGCGCCCCCTTTTTAACTCTTCGCACACTTTCACAACTTATTGAGGATGAAGGCGATAAATTTCCTTTAGCGATTCTTTCTCTAACTCAAGGAAGATATGTGGATGACATATTTGGTGGCGCTGATACAATTTCTCAAGTTCAAGAAATAGTCCAACAAGTAAATTCATTATGTATGGCGAGCGGTTTTCCTCTTCAAAAGTGGATAAGCAATCATCCAGCAATTCTCCAATCTATTTCTCCTGAAAAGCAAGCAAATTCAACATTCATCCAATTCGATAAATCAACGACAATTCATGTACTAGGACTTCAATGGAATCCAACAACTGATATCTTTCATTTCTCAGCTTCCTTTTCAGATTCAACACTAATAACCAAACGAATTATTTTATCGACTATCGCTAAAGTATTCGATCCACTTGGATTACTTGTTCCTATCCTCATAACTGCTAAAATTTTTGGTAATTATGCACTATAGGGGACCCAGCTCCGATGACCTTGATCTTGACATACGTTGTCAAGGTCATGATTCTGAGTAACTTTGCCTTAACAACTAGGCGGCGGTCTCTTATAGTTTCGGAGATATTTAGATCAAAAGTCTAATTTCGTATAATACAATATATGTCATTCCGGTAAATGGGAAACATCTACTTTATTTGTAAAGTAACTTTTACCCCCCCCCCCCTGCATAGGGGCACAGGACTTCTACGATTGTACTGTTGCTATGATAGTACTGTCGGGGCAGACCTCTGTGACGGTGCCCTTGCACCCGCCCGCCTGCCCGCCCGCCCGTGTGTGTGTGTGTGTGTGTGTTCCATTCGTTATATAACGATTATGAGAGTCTATTACTTGATATTTTACACACACACACACACACACACACACACACACACACGGGTGCAAGGGGGCGGCCTTGGGCCACCCCCCCCGCACCCACACCGTCGCAGAGGTCTGCCCCGACAGTACTATCATAGCAACAGTATAATCGTAGAAGTCCTGTGCCCCTGTGCAGGAGGGGGGGGGGAGTGAAAGTAACATCGCGTGGAAAGTTTAACGTTTCTGAACAGAGAAAGGTGTAGAATAGTGATTCATAAATGGTAAGAAGTGTACCTCTTGTATTCATTTTGATTGCATTTATTCTTGGTCTGTTATATTGTGTGTGTGCGCTCGCGCGCGCGTGTGTAAAAATAGTACTTATTATAATACATATATGGCAGAAATGATACGTTAATTTTGAAACTTTTTTTATTAATAACTTTTTAACGAGTTAGGTCCGACGGTTAAAACTTCCTCAAGGTCACTCAGGGTCATGACCTTGACAACAAATGTCAAGGTCAAGGTCATTGGGGAAGGCTCCCCTAATCTACATTTTTACCCAAGTTTTTACTACTAATATTAATTCTTACAAACCGTGGAACCCTATCAACAAATATTCCAGTCTCACACGACTCTTACGTATTACTGCATTATGCATGAGAGTTAAATCTCACTTATTAAAAAATCTTCGAAAACAAATTTTACTACTTCTATAACTCCACATAAGTTAGAAAATGTGAGAATCTTCTGGATCAAAAGTATTCAACACTCATCATTTTATCAAGAAATAAAAATTCTTTCAAAAGGCCAACCTTTGCCGCGTTCAAATCATTTACTACGCTTAACGCCGTTTCTCGATTCTGAGGGTCTTCTTCGTGTCGGAGGTAGAGGTGTTATTAATGATAAAATTATCGATAATTATCGATATACTTTATGATGTATCGATAACATAAATTATCGATAATATCGGTTAGATATCGATAAGTAAATATAAATCCTGATGAAAATATTAAACTGCTCGACAATTCTTATTTTTATTTGTTAGACAATTATATGATAGAAACACAATAAATGAATGAAAAATTTCCTATTCACGGTCGAAGCTGGATCTTAGTTGCTATTTTTATAATTATGTGTGAATTTATATACCGCATATTTAGTATTCTGCAGTTATAACCGCGTGCTGAAAGATTTTTCAGGCTTACACTGCAACTCTAATAAACTATCGCAGTACTGTCACGAGTTAAATTGATTAGCAACCTAATAATTTGATGCCTATAGCATCTATCAGGCAACGCATATTTAACAACATGTTCACAATTATGACAGTTTCGACCGATGAGAATCGTATATGTACCCGAGTTACCCTACATATTTATAAACATATGTAGGTATCGTGTATCGTGTCGCAAATCGCGCAGGTGTGCCGAAGCCATAATGTGAACGGAGCAATAAATGCGGCCATCAAAATATTGTATATAAACCGAGAGAAACAGAACAAGGTATCAGTTGCTTTGTACTTGTTATATATCATTTGATCGAAATGTCACGTAGAACACGAGCAAAGAGGAGCATAATGTGGTCGTACCTTACCGAATGTAACGATGATTTAAATGCGACAAGTGCCAAGTGTAATATTTGTGATTCTCTCGTACTTCATTCGAATAATACTACAAATTTATGGTCTCATATAAAAATTCACCATTAAAATATCTTAGAAAATTCTTCGGAATCATCAGATACAGAATGTTGCGTAAAAACAAATAAAAGTAAACGAATTAAAATGAATTCACCTGTTTGTGTTTTACCTGTATCAACTGTACCATCTACATCGAATGTTGAAGTATCTGTTTCAGTTATATCTTCAAAGACGTCTAAACGTGACACAGAAGTAATAACTAATAACTTAAAATCACAAAAATATCCTGCTGATTCAAAGCGTGCTAAAGAAATTACTGAATCACTGATACAAATGTTAGTGGAGGATGTTCGTCCATTCTCAATGGTAGAAGATATCGGATTTATTAAATTTGTGAATTCATTAAATAAAAGATATAAGTTACCAAATAGAAAGATTTTAAGCACTACATTATTGCCTGAACTATACCGAGCGAAATGTGCACAAATTAAAAAATCTTTATCAAAAGTTAATTGTATTCACCTTACAGTAGATTTATGGACTGATACTCATCGACAAATATCATATTTTGGAACTACTGCACATTACATTATAGATGGACAATTGCGTGATAGCATTTTACAAACTTCTTATTTTCCAGAACGTCATATGCTCAAAATTTACGAGATAGTATAGTTGAAATGGCAGAAATTTGGGATATATCAACGAAAATTAAAGTTATTGTAAGTGACAATGGTAGTAACATTGTTAGCGCAATAAATATGTCACCATGGCATCAAATTTCATGTTTTGCTCATACTTTAAATCTCGTTGCTCAAAGTGCATTGAAGAATACTGAGTCAATTGTTAATGTTCTTCAAAAATGCAGAAATATTGTTATTGTATTTAAAAATAGTAACACTACAACAGAATTATTACGAAAAGCGTAAATTAGTCAAGGAATAATTACTCCGCTTAGTTTGAAAAGAGACGTACCAACACGATGGAATTCCACGTATCTCATGTTAAGTCGTATAATTGAATTGCGAAATATCTTGCCTGCGGTTCTCACAGCACAAAAAGATGTATGATTGCGTATGAAGAATGGGAAATGATTATTGGTATAGTAAATGTACTAAAACCATTATACCTAGCAACTAAAGAAATGTCTGGTGAACATTATGTAACCAAATCAAAAGTTATACCTATTCTTGGATGCATTGATTCTGCCTTAAAAGCTTTTAATTTATCGAATGATGTTGAATTACTCCGATCTAATTTGTTATGTGAACTTGATAAAAGATTTGGAAATATTGAAACAAATTCTATTTACGCTATTGCAACATTGTTGGATCCTCGTTTCAAAAACGTTGTGTTTAAATCCAAAGTATGCATTAAAATGGCAAAAACTAAATTATTATGTGAATGTGAGAATCCATATGTTGAAAGTAATAATTCTGAAGAAAATACCGAGTTAATAGAATTGAATAATGAAATTTCGAACAGTGATACAGATACTTTATGGGCAACATTTGATCAAACAATTGAAGAGACAGGCACCGATAGTATTTCTTCTTCGGCAAAACGAGAATTACAAAGGTAAAATTATTCATTACTTTGTAATGTTATAGTAAGATATTAGATTTATATAATAAATAATTGCTACCACTCTCCCCAACAATACAAAAAACTTGATTGTACGTAGGTACTTACATTCCAAAGTAATTCATAGAAAATATAATCCACTTACATGGTGGACGACAGAGGGAAGGAGAAATTATCCAAACCTGGAACAAGTTGCATTACAATACCTATGTATACCAGCAACGTCGGTTCCCAGTGAAAGAGTTTTCTCAAAAGCTGGACAAATTCTTTCCGATAGAAGGACGCGGTTGCAGCCAAAGCATGTGAATATGCTCACTGTTTTGAGTGCCAATAAAGATTAAGAATAATTTGAAAGAAAAGTGTTTAATTAATTTTTAGTTTTTAAAATAATATTAATCATATGCTCAATTAATTAAAGTTAATTGTATGTTCTACAGATATAAAAATTGTTCCTATTTTTCAAATAAAAATAAATATTGTTTAGTTATTGTTATTTAACTTTTTATGTAAGTGTTATTTAATATTCTCATTTTGCGTTAAATTAACACAAAAATATGAAATATGTATGTATGTGAAATTATCGATATCTTAACGATATTATCGATAAATTGAAATTAATCGATATATTATCGATAACGTATCGATAATCGATAATAACATCTCTAGTCGGAGGTCGCCTTCAATTTTCTTCACTACCTGAACTAAGCAAACATCCTTTAAATACTTCCTCGGAAGTCTCCATTAACTCTACTAATAATTTCTGATGCCCATCATCGTACAATGCATGGAGGCACTCAAATAACTATATCGTTCATCCGAAGTCAATATTGGATCATCGGAGGACGTGCACCAGTTAGATCCTTTATCTTAAAATGCGTACGTTGTGCTCGATATAGACAAACCAAAGCTCAACAAATAATGGGGCAAGTTCCTCCGGAACGGTTAACTCCGTCTCGTCCATTTTTAAACTCCGGCGTTGATTATGCTGGTACACTTTTTCTCAAAAACTGGAAAGGTAGAAACTTTTCGAACATACAAGGCATGGATAGTTCTTTTTGTATGCCTTTCAACTTCTGCAGTTCATCTCGAAATTGTAACTGATTGTATTGCTGAAGCGTTTATTGCTTCTTATAAACGGTTCACTTCTAGAAGAGGAATTTGTGCAACTCTAGTTAGTGACTGTGGAACTAATCTTAAAGGAGCAGATGTCGAGCTTCAAAATCTTTTCCCAACACCTCAAAAGAATTAGGAAAGCTTGCTTCACTTCTCTCAAATGACGGCACATTATGGAAATTTAATCCTCCCTCCGCACCGCATTTCGGTGGAAAATGGGAAGCAGGAGTGAAATCTGTCAAGTACCATCTCAGAAGAATCGTTGGAAATCATATACTAACTAATGAAAAAATGACAACATTACTAACTCAAATCGAAGGAATTTTAAATTCAAGACCATTATGCCCCTTCACAGATGACCAAGAAGATCTTCAAGCCTTAACTCCTGCACACTTTCTCATAGGAGATACATTGTCAACTATTCCTGAGCCATCTTTGGAAGCCATTAAAATTTCGCATCTTTCACGATGGCAACTTACTAAACAAATGTTAGATTCCTTTTGGTCCCACTGGTCAAAGGAATTTTTACAGCGAAATCTTGCTATATATAAATGGAACAAAGACAGCTCCCCCTTAAAAGAAGGAACTCTTGTTTTAATTACTGATGAACAATTTCCCCCTTCCAAGTGGCCGTTAGGTCGAATTGTCACCTCTCATCCTGGCAAAGATGGAAAAGTTCGCGTTGTAACAGTTCGTACCCAGACCTCAATTCTGAAACGACCTATTGTCAAATTATGTTCATTGCCAGTCTTAGACTCAAATATCTAATTCGTTCGTTAATTTCTATTAACGAAGGCGGGCGGAAATGTTCAAAAAATCAAAGCTAACCGCGCGTCGACGCCTCGTATCGACGAGGCGGTTGCTTAGTGACGGCGTTACTCGCTTTTTGTTGTTAATCTTCCTTGTAAGTAAGAAAGAGTTTTGTGTTTTTAGCTCTTCATTAATTACGAATATATTTAATTCTGCAAAGGATAAAACATACAAAGAAGGATCTCGACCATAGATTACTTATCTTAGTTATCTGTTGATAACATTTCAAAGGGGATTTTATCCAAAAGATCAATTCGCACAATATATAAATACTCAACTTAAAGGAAATCTCTCTCAATCAGATTTTCTAGCAAAAGGTTAGCATGCATCTAATTTGTTGTCTCTCTCCTTTTCTTTCTCTCTTATTGTACATTTGTAAGGTCTCACTATCTAAGAATGTGCTCGAGCCTACAAAAGATGAATCTCAAAATTCTTAGTTTATCTCTCTATCTCTCTTTCTCTTGTAAGGTCTCATTTATTAAGTTACCGTTCGAGCCTACAACAATTCTTTATCAAAGTTAATTCTCTCTACCTTGTAAGATATTGTATTTAAAGATTGTGTTCGAACCTACAAGATAATAGTTTAAAATGCAAACAATGTAAATGTAACAATGTATAACCTATCTCAAAATATTGAACTCACAATTAATTGATTATTCTTTATTTCGTCAGCTGTTGCCGTAAATGTATTCACAGTTATAGAATAAAATAATCTTTTTAGAAGACCGTAATTTTTATTATTCTATCTAAATCTATAATGTTTTACAGACATAATGTAATGTGAAGTGATGTAATAATGTGATAAGCTAGTAATATGTTAGTGGCCCAAAGACCAAGCGAATAGGATATTAGGATAAGGTAGTATTTACGGAGGAGCGTATACAAGGTATGAAAGAATGTGTGTGGTTAAGCAATATTGTAAACCAAGTCCCCTTCTTGGCTATTATGTAAAAGCTGAAGCGAATAAAATTTTATTCTTCTATTCTTCTGAACAAAGACGACTCGCTATAATTGGCCAGCCTGATAAAAATAAGTAAAATAACATATGCTCAACATGACACATTTAATTCTACCTCGGATACAATTTTCGGCTCATAAACCTAACTATTCATAATATATTTTTGAGATCAATATAATAAACAGATGCTTATTCATTGTGGTGAGAAATTACACTATAAACCTCGAGAAGTAGGTCGATATTTATGTTGTATGCATTTACCCGTAAGAATAAAACGGATAGGATGCGCGTATGCGCATCAGCAGTAAAAAATGAATATTGGAACATTACCTTTACATACAGGTACACAATAGTTATCTTAAGGCGAGAATTAGACTATACGCATTGAAGATTGAGATTTAACCTATCGAAATGATAGCAGCTAAAATTCCTTTGTCCTTATTGGCCAAATTTCAGTCTTAAATCTCAATCTTCAATGCCTATAGTCTGATACCGGCGTAATAAGTTCTGCAAACAGAAATGGACAGGATTCGTATTTGCATCGGAGGACAGAAACGGACAGGATGCGAATACGCATTTGCGGACAGAAACGGACAGAATTCGTATTCGCATCGGAGGACAGAAACGGACAGGATTCGAATACGCATTTGCGGACAGAAACGGACAGAATACGTATCCGCATTGGCAGACAGAAACGGACAGAATACGTATCCGCATCAGCGGACAGAAACGGACAGAATGCGTATCCGCATCGGCAGACAGAAACGGATAGGATTCGAATACGCATTTGCGGACAGAAACGGACAGAATGCGTATATGTACTCAATAGCAGTCAGAAACGGACAGGATCGGTGTACGTATATACAGTTAGAAACGGATAGAAAAAGCAGTCGTCCATCCGTTTCTAGGAACCGATATATTGTGAACACATTCTATCTGTTTCTGTCCGTAGTTGCAGTAGCAAAAACGCATTGTAAAGCAGATAGAAACGGATAGATGCGTTTTCTATCTGTTTTCGTCCGTAGTTGCAGTAGCAAAAACGCATAGTAAAGCAGATAGAAACGGATAGATGCGTTTTCTGTCTGTTTCTGTCCGCAATTTTAACCAGGGATGTAGCCTTTGAAAATGAGGTGAATCTTTATTTTATTCTAATCTAATCTTATTATTCATTATTTATAAGTAATACTTTTCGTACTTCAAGTGTCGAAAAAATTACTGCGTACAAGCTTCGACATTACTTCTAAGTAAACAACGAGAAACTCATCAGTCTTTTGAGAGCAGGCCGCCATGTTCTTTTTCCGAGTCATTAACAGATTGGTACTCTAAAATTACAAGCAATTATTTTTCATTGCACGGGCTAATATAAATTAAATAAATTTCAAATCAAATCTCAATAACCGACTTTTATATTTTGTGCACTAAGAATAACATATTGCAGAAATTTTTTAGAAAACTGTAATATGCAAATTGTAATCTGTTTTACTTATATGTATGTATGTTCATTTTGAATTTGCACCTTGAATGATCTATTAGTTACTTTTCGTGGTACATATTCAACATAGAAAATATACTTTATGTACGTTTATTGCAGTTATTTTCAAGAAAACTGTAATATTTTAATTGTAATCTGTTTTACTTATATGTAGGTATGTTCATTTTGAATTTGCACCTTGAATGATCTGTTAGTTACTTTTCGTGGTAATATATTATATTAGATAGTATCATTTAAAGTATTAAAGGTTTATTAGGTTACATTATTAGATAATCATTTTAATTTAGAAAAGTTCAAATTTTTGGGGTTAATTTTCAAAGGTTGTAATTTATTGGGTTTTTTATTTTGCGGTTAGGTAATCGTTTTAATTTAGAAAGGTTTAAATTTTTGCGGTTAGCTTTCAAAGGTTTAAATTTGTTGGGTTTTTTAATTTGCGAGGATCTATTTTTGAACATGGCTTGACCTTTTCATTTTAATGATATTTTAGGATTAATATAATAATATTTATATTTAGCGTACATACTTCTCACGGTACCTACTAACAATCGACCGCAGTACTTTTTGCAATTCCGCTAGATCGCGTTAATTAACAATTGTTTATGGATTCATTCAAAACTTGACACGCGTACTCTCGGCACTACCTATTTTCGATTTACTAAGTTACAATTTGTATTTAAATCAAACCCTTAATTAACATTTTTGGGGCTATTTCCATAATGAACGTATTTGCTTAAAACTTAGCACATGTGCATGTTACGTTGCCCACTTTGACTTGACCGCGGTACATTTTCTTATTTTATAAAGCAACAGAGGCGTCTTTTCGTTCTGATACCACAGTACCGTTTGGTTAGGAGTGTTTCGGGCTGTGACGTCACAAACAGATACCATTATCGAAAATGACATTTCACTGCCACTATGGAAACAGGAATAGTTCTTAGTATAATTGTGGCGGTAAATATGGATCAGAA